GATAAAGTTTGCATGATTTTGAAAAAAGAATGATTATTAGCAAATTATTGGGGGGGCTGCAGCCCCCCCAGCCCCCCCGGTTGCTACGGCCCTGGTTTTGCATTTAATTTAATTCACCATAACGTGTACATTTCTATAATGGTAAGTAACTTTTTCGTGAAATTAGTGACGTCACGTACGAACTTTTAACCGGAAGTGACGTATTAATTGAACAGTTCATTCAAGATTGATACAGAACTGTTTAGGAAATAGGAAGAAGTGAAGCCACTCGAAGTATGAACTCTCTTTATGTCATTATTTATCGCTTTTCTTTACCGATTTTTGGGGTATTTTACATTTAAACATTTTCTTCAAGAAGCAACCTGTTTGAACGCAGATTTTATACTGGAATTTTGGGAAAATTCGTGAGTATATATTTGACCAAAACAGACGCATTGTGTATAATTTGTGTGTTACGAAATATTGATATTGTTTATACGAAATAAGTTATACTACACGCGACTTTAGTGTACCGATTTTTACGTCGAAATACCTTAATAATAGCATGAACAAACTGGGTAAAACTAATGGTATTTGATGTGGAATTATACAGAAATCGGGCTTTGAAATCCAGCTTTTAACAACCTGTCACCTGTCAATATACATAAACAATACATGCCTAACATTGTTGTGTCTACTCGCTCTGCTGGAATTTGTACTTTATAAACGCCCTATGAATATGCTCGCGTTATTTTACAAGTTAAAAGACAGCAACTATGGGCGTTTTTTGCTACTTTTATTATGTCTGATTGCTGTTATGCCATTTGTAACTCATTATTACTTGACAAAACGCGCAGGGACTCAAGACTTTTACTCAAAGTCATTCCACACAAGGTCAGCTCTACAAGACGATGATTCTAACACCGAATACAGATTAGAGGAACTGAGAAAGAATATTAACGAATTAGAGCATGTCAAGTTATCGTTAAAGAATGAGTTACGGGAACTCGAGGGGAAACGCCATGGACTTTTACGCAATATACAAGAGCATTCAAACAATATTGATAATATTGTCAGCAAAGCAAACTATTTGACAAACGAGGTCACCAAGCAACAACAAGAATTAGAAGACCTTCGTTTCGCTAAGAAAATGGTCAGTCATTGTCCTCAATTACCCCTCGTTAAGCCGCCTAAAGATATTTTATCTAAACTGTCCCACAAATTTCAAACATATCCACAAGCTACCGTACACGAGAGGACTCATTGTAAACTCTCGAGTTGTTTTAACTTTCAAAAGTGTCCACTTGGTCGTGATTTTACAGCACACATATACAACCCCAAAAACACTAGGTTATCAATGAGAACCAGTGTATCGCAAGAAATGTATAGTATACTCAAATCAATGCCTTATGCGGTAGATGTTAATGAGCCTACAGCTTGTGTGTATATTGTTATACTTGATACATTGTTAGACAGTTCTCCGAAAGAATTAGAAAAGTTTTTGCACAATTTAGAATTTTGGCAAGGTGATGGACATAATCATATTATAATAAACTTTGCCGGAGGTAAGGTCCTTCACAAGGTGGACACAGGCCGAGCAATACTCGCACAAACGATGTTTGGACCTCATACACCATATCGACGAGAGTTTGACATGGTAGTTCCACCTCTTGCAAGCTTGACGAGATCCGGATCACCGTGGGAAAATTCTGCTCCTCAACTCCCGGCTAGCCGTAAATACCTGGTCAGCTTTGTCGGGAACTATCATAGTTCTAAGAAAGGTCTGAATAATGATAGTTTTATTTCGGTTGGTGATTTGAAACAGCTTTCTCTAGAAGCCAAAGATATATTTATTCAACTCTCATGCCAGCCTGATAAAGAATTTGCTAATTCCAACGACTGGCAACTCTGTGGGTCACACAAGTCAAGAGCCGAGGTCTTAAAGGCCTCAACGTTTGCTCTTATATTTCAGTCTGAACATGCGGAAGACCAGACAATGACCATAATACGCTTTATTGAAGCCTTACAATATGGTGCTATTCCTGTTGTGATATCTGATAATATTTTACTGCCGTTTACTGATATTATTGAATGGCATCGTGCTGCGATAATGTTACACAGCGCACAATTCCCGCAAATGCATTTTATCTTACGGACAATTTTAGTCAACGATGTATTGGACATTAGACGACAAGGTAGATTTTTATGGGAAGCATATCTTTCCTCTGCTAAAAGTGTTTTGGAATCAACGATGGCAGTTATACAAACTCGTCTATCTTTGCCAGGCGTGCCGGCAAAAGATACACACTTTCCTTCAGTTTTTTACAGTCCCGACCCAAACCTGGTGATGCAACACGGTATAACATCACCAACATTTTATCGTAACTTCACAGCAAATACAATCTATGCTAGACAGAGATGGAACACATATCCGGGGGCATTATTGTTGTTCCCGAGTTCACCTATTGTGCCAGTGTTGCCATCCTCAGCTGCATTCCTGAATTCGTCCTTCGATATCCAACCCATTGGCAGGGGTGCCGGGGGTGCGGGAAGAGAGTTTCAGGAAGCATTGGGCGGTGACTATCCGTTTGAACAATTCACTATCGTTATGTTAACGTATGAGCGAGAGTTAGTCTTGATAGAAGCTCTGGGTCGCTTGGCAGGTTTGCAGTACATGAATAAGGTGGTTGTGGTTTGGAACAGTCCTGGTGATCCATCGCCAGACCTAAGGTGGCCGAATATTGGAGTCCCAATCAAGGTGAGTGAGCCAAAGGATTATTAATGTGTAAAATTTAGGCCTTTCCTGAAAAGGTGCTTGATCAAACATGCACAAGCCTTTTGCCAAGTGTGTTTTTTCATGACGAAGAAACTATTTTAATTTTGAAATAAATTTATTGACTGCTTTTTGCCTGGACTAATTTCTGGTTTCTTTAGGTTCTACGTCCTGAAAAGAACAGTTTAAATAACAGATTTCTTCCACTTGACGAAATTGAAACCGACGCTGTATTATCGATGGATGATGATATACAACTAAGACATGATGAGATTCTCTTTGGGTTTAGGTATTGTCAATAACTCCTCCTCTTAGTAGCAGAGATGAAGAGTATATGAATTGTTGATAATTAAAATTGCATAATTTTTCCCAGGGTATGGCGCGAGGCAAGAGATAGGATTGTTGGCTTCCCAGGTCGTTATCATGCTTGGGACTTGAACCATGGTGGATGGTTGTACAACTCCAATCATTCATGTGAACTGTCGATGGTCCTCACTGGAGCGGCATTTATTCACAAAGTAATCATTAAATACATTTACGACTAACATTTCTAGAGCGCAAATTCCCATGTGGATATAATCAAATGCTCTACATCAAGTATTACGCTTACCTAATTACATACTCAGGGTCGTCCTCAGGGAATTCTTCAGGGAATTCTTCAGGGGGGGGGGGGGGTAAAGGTCATTTCAACTGACTGACGAACAGGGCCGCCGAGAGGTTGACGGGAGCCCATGCGAGAAATTTTTTTTCGGACACCAACAACCCGCCCCCGTCGACAACTTTTTAGGGAAAAAATTTCCGGACGAGTACATTGCAGATGCTTTCCAGTGACTTTACCTCAATTTTTCATACCAAAATTCGCAAATTTACCCAAAAAAAACAAATATCTTGCCCTTTGTGCAGAAATATTTAACCCAAATAGCAGTCCTACCGACTGAATAGCAGTCCTGCCGACTGAATAAAATTTCTGGGGGGTGTAACCCCGCCCCCCCGTATCTCCGACCCTGTACATACTTAGCTAGGCTCACAGGAAAAAAAGCCCAACCTGTAACAATGTTGAAGAAAACAAGCTCGAACAATATTTTGCTGCCCATATTGTTCCTGGTTGTTAACAATATTGTTCACCTGAACAATGCTGAACAATATGGGCAGCAAAATATTGTTCAGGCCTGTTTTCAACAACATTGTCACAGGCTAGGCGTTTTTTGCAGTTTAGACTATTTTATCTTGACAACAATTGTGATATTACTTTCTCAACTGTGTTTATCTTAACCCACCCTGGCAACTTTCCTTGTGGGAGGAAACCAGAGCACTCAAGCCTGGTGGTGTCAACATTCTTCTTATAATTTTCAGGTAGTTGCATTCCTGCCAACGAAAGCTTGTTTAAATATGTACTCAGTGTTACAATTTTTTTTAGTACTATACATATGTGTACACATATGTGATGCCTCGAGCCATACGAGATAAAGTCGACGAATACACAAACTGTGAAGATATCGCCATGAATTTTCTTGTTTCTCATGTGACAAGGAAACCGCCCATTAAGGTACGGTACAGTTTAGACCAATTTAGGTTTCCTCCTGTAGTAACATTGGATCAATAAGAGGTGATCCTTACTGGACCTCTAGGAAGAACAGTTTAGAACTGATAGAGCTATCCAGTATAAATAAAGTTAGTTTAGTTTAGGTTTCCTCCTGTAGTATCACTGGATCAATAAGAGATGATCCTTACTGGACCTCTAGGGAGAACAGTTTAGAACTAATAGAGCTATCCAGTATAAATAAAGTTAGTTTAGTTTAGGTTTTCTCCTGTAGTAACACTGAATCAATAAGAGGTGATCCTTACTGGACCTCTAGGAAGAACAGTTTAGAACTGATAGAGCTATCCAGTGTAAAGTTAATTTAAAGTTCTTATTCTCATTTCAGGTGACGTCTCGTTGGACATTCCGGTGTCCGACCTGCCCCTCGACATTATATCAAGACAAAACTCACTTTAACGAGAGGCATGAATGTATCAACTTTTTCGTCAAGGTTTTCGGCTATATGCCGTTGTTACGTACACAATTTCGAGCCGACTCAGTACTTTTCAAAACACGGATTCCTTCGGAAAAATCGAAATGCTTTACATATATTTGAAACGTGTGTAACTATTGGGCCTAACAAAAACATGTGGTTGAGACAGACCCACCTTTTTGTGCTGGCCTGACCTTAATGGTTTTTTGGATGTGCTTGGCAGGCCTCGAAAGAAGAGGGATCCCGGGATCGCTGATGGATACTGAGGAAGATCTGAAGATGAATTAATCGTGATAGGGAAGCAAGATGGGAAGAAGTTATTTCGCTGACCTCAGAATGACATTTCGTCAAAAAATTTTTTTTCAAGATTGGTTTAGAAACAAACTTAGAGTAGGGTTAGGTTAGGGTTAGGGTAAGGGTTATAATTGGTGTTTGGAATAGGGTTAGTGTTAGTAAAACCGTTGCTTTGTTACGTTTTGTCACTCTGAGGCCAGCGAAATAATCTCTTCCTTGCAAGCAGATGATGGTCAACTTTGACACATATAACATATATACATCTCTCTATTCTATCTGTTTGCCTCCAAATACAAGACTACTACATTTAATGAAAAGAATGAACATTATTTTCTCACCCTGATAACTGCAGGTTTTGTACGTATATGTATAAATAAACCATGTTTTTGCATTAAAAATTTCAGACTTGCTTTTAGGGCAACTTATATACACATTTTCGACATGATAATTCGTCAACGGTCGTTGGAAATACTAAGGCAATAGGATGTTCCAGTCAGTGAAAAGAACGAACTGCTTTCGGATTATCAGATTGTGACTGCATGGATGGCATTATTGATGCACTGAATTTTTACAAAGTTAACTGTTCGAGCTTATGTAAAATTTATCGTAAAAATATCGTATAAAACGTTAAAAAAGGCTGGCGAAGGGCCTTCGCTCGAAATGTCGCCGGTCTCCTTGTATTTTTCAGGTAGTTGTGTCCTATCATCGATCTGCAGTATACTCTAATTTTGTCCGGCTTTTTCATTTAAAAATTAAATACATAGTATTTATTGTCGGGTAATATGTTAATAGACTGTAATATAGTTTTTTTTATAGGATTAAGGAGAGATATAATAATGTAAAAGTATTTTAAAAAATGAGTTGTATGGATAACGGCAATATGCCTTTTCGCTACCTCGGGCAAAAGAAGTCTAAAAACTAAAACCTCCGTTTTCAAATTTTTAGACTCAAATTTGTTTTGCTTTTTTAACACTCTACTCTCCAGAGTGTTGTTGCTATGTTTTGAACATCTCCAAAACTAAGTAATCCTTTTGTTAATACTGAATCAATATCGTGCAGAAATAATTGATATATTATGCAGTTTATTGCACTTTCTTCACTCGGGGATATTGGTGATTTTACAGGGAGCTATGCCCAACGTACTAACTCCAGATATTACCCTTATTTGCTGACATTTTCAGGCTTTAAATAACTGTTTTACTTCAAAAAATCTCTTCTATATAAGATTAAACCAGATGGTACCTAATTTAGGTTTCTTTTAAATTTGACATATTAAATAAATAGCTAAGTTGCCTGGGTTACATAATTAGGAGAAGATTAGTATCATAAATGATAGATTTCGATTCCGGGGGGTTGCAGCGGTATTTTAATGAACGTAAAATTAAAATAAAGCTGCAAAAATTGTATTTCTATTAAAACTTGCACTTTTAAAGGACAGCTAATATTTGTAAACGTATTGTTTATTTTGTTGTGGGATAATAAAGTTTTAAGACGATATAGAATATTTTTGAAAATGTTTTTCCTAACCTATGATGTAACCCCCCGGTTTTGGCGCGACGTTTGACGTTTTCCGGCGCAGTTCCCTTTACAAAATCTTTGCGTAGTAGATGATTGATTTCCAGTGGGTGAATAAGTCCCAATCTTGTTTACTTTGTTGCGGATTTTGCTTTGAAATAAAGGGCAATATAAAACGGCAAATATCGTCAAATATAAGTGAATGTTTGTGACATTGTTTTGAAGTTTAGAAGTTTTGTTTTGCGATCAATTAGTGTGAATTAAAGTCTACCTTCGTGCTACAATAACATGGAAGGTAGCTTGACAAGAAAGGAGTCGAAAAAGCACAGGCGTAGAGACGAAACAGAGCAGCAATTGGCGTCTGAGGAAGGGACAAGAGAGCGTAAACATCGAAAGAAACGGGACGGAAAGCGAAAAAAGAAGCGATCTTCTGTCCCAAACTTAGATGAGGGAGAAATTTCAAAGACTGTTGGGCAGGATAATAAAGGTCTAGATCACGAGGAAACTGTATCTTTGAGCGGTCAGGCAAATATAGTTGAGCCAGAAGCGAGAGTTGGTGAATCTGTAGACTTAACAAGCCAACATGGCTCTCAAATTGAACTACAAGAGAGAATGAACCAGTCTATAGCCTCTACAATTAGCCATGGTTCTGAAGAAGAGAGAGTTGGCTTTACAAGTGGACAAGACTCTCAAATTGAAGAGACTGTTAGTTTACATGCAGAGTCTGAGGAGGGCACTGATTTTGCTTCAGCAAGAACTGGAATACTCACAGATAGTGATCGGGTTGATTCGAGGGAAGGGAGTGCCGGGTCAGATCGTGGCTTGAGGAGAAGAGCTACCTTAACTGAATTAGGGAAAAGTTTTGATGCGGAGCAGGAATCGAGTGAGGTAAGATACTGAGCTAGTTTGATATTAACCCACTGAGCTCTCTCCCCTTGACAAGTAACATTGTCAGGCATTAGGCAGGGTAACATTGTCTGGCATTAAACAGAGTAAAATAATAAAGTAGGATGCATTAATTGTTCTTGTAGTCAAATCCATTATCCTTAACTCTGTCTAATGCCAGACAATTTTACTCATCAAGGGGGGAGTACTGCCACTTAGTGGGTTATGGCAGGGCTTAATTTGGGACTTTATTAGTCCTGTTGTCTGTGCCTTCAATTTCTTATTGTAAAACTAATAAAAAAAAAAAAATAAAAATAAATAAAAATAAAAAATATCAAACAGGGCCAAATCCAATCTAATAAAGGAGATGAGGGATGCATTTTCAGGGAAACTTCAGCTGACATTTTTGGAGTTTGTACTCTTGCAACCCTCCCCATCAGAAAATCTGCTTACGTTACTAAAATTTCTGTGAATCATGTATTTCCTGTTGGCAGCTGCAGCGAATTATGAAGCAATGAAACACATATGCACCCCACCTACACAATCCCCTAAACAATTCACACCTCCCCTCCCCTCCCAGGGTACCATCTCTGAGTCATTCAACTTGAAAAGCTGCCCATTAGGCATTAAGCCGCAATGTGCCCAAATACTCCCTATTATTTTAATCTGTCTAATGCCAGCCAATTTTAGCAGTGAAGACAAGAGTCTCGCATATTAGTTAATAGTTGTTTCTCTCTATTTAATGTTAGACAGTTTTACAAGCAGGGGCGAAACTTGAGGGGGGGGTATGGGGGGGTGTTGCACCCCCCCAAAATACGAATCATCCCGATTGGCAGGGCAATCAAAGGTCTCTTATAAATAAATGATAGCACATAGGTGTACCGGGCGGGGGCAATATTCG